GTAGGATGATTGGAATTTCTTTATGTAAACATAATAAATAGACATAGATATGGATTAAAGATAGTGCACTAAAGATACCAACAGTTGCACACCATGTATGGCTCTAGTGATGTGTCTGAAAAGCTTATAGGGAACTTTATTAAGCTTGTTAAAATAGTTTGACTCATTGACTCCTATGAAGTTTTATGGACAAAGTTATGATATAAGCACTAATGTAATAAAAGCTTATTAAATAAATGCTTAATTCAATTGTTTACCCAATCACACCATTTACAACATTTTAGACAAAATGATGTGGTGAAAACTGAGAAGCCCTATATTATGGTATTTTTAGTGTATATAACCTTGCATTGAAGCCTTATTTTTAAACTGGAAAGGGCTATGTATGTACTACTGATATTACAGCTGTAAGGTGTAAACCTAAATTTGTTATGTATAATAACTACATTTAAAAACCAATACATACAAATGAATGGGATAGCTGTCAGCTAGCTGCTACTTCACCATTGGTCAAGCTCATAGTAATCATATGCACCATTCTTGTTTCAGGTGTACCTATTTTTAGGAGCTGAGAGAATATTTAAATGTCTCCCACTTGTTTATTTGAATTGCCAAAATCTTGTGGCACTTTCCCCTTGCTATCTATATGTTTCTCTTGTATGAAATGACTTCGTATATGTTTTGTTCATTACTAGAAAATTTGATCTTATTATAGGGATTCTGTAGAAAGAAGCTTAGTTGTTACATATTAACCTAACCTCTATCACTTATTCAAGCATTAGTTGTTGAAACAGTTTGTTTAAAATGAACGGTGTTAGAGAGTAAGTATACTCTAAGCATTAAAGGAAAGCTGGGGACGGGAAATATGGTTTCAAAGGTGCCTATTTCTAACAAACTAGCATTTTGTAGTCTTTAGTCCCTAGGGTAATAATTGTTATTCTATAAAATGAATGAGGATATGAAATTGCCATTTTTCCCATCCCATTTTTCTGGGAATGGATGGTGATTCCTGGTTCTAATGGAATGCCTTATGTTTTTTTTTTTTCACTAAAGTTGTATTGTTCATTCCATGGATAAAGCATGGAATGCAATCTGATAGGATTTGGCCTCCTATTACAAAGGTTATGAGAGAAGAAATATGAGAAGTTGAAATAAAGCTATTTGATGTTAGTTACACATATTTGGGAGTTAGTTAAGAGCAAGGGAGGTTTGTATAAAATAAACTAATGAGAGAAAAGCTTACAAGGGCAGGAAATATCTTTTTGATAGGATTTTGGTCCCTCGAGAACTAGAATGATTCTTTTCTATAATATCTTACATTTTGGAAATAAACACTTTTTCACTCTTACTTCTTCTGGGAAATCAACTTGTTTTATTTCCTGATCCATTTTCTATACAATCATTTGTTGTAATTAGAGGAAATATCTATAGAATCTTCTCAATTAGAGAAAATATCTATGAAATCTTCCTAATTAGAGAAAACATGTGTATGATCTTCTAGATTATTATGTTTCCTTATTTCCCTTTCTAGAATATTAGATTGCTACAAACAGAGGTAAGAAGAATGTACTTACTATGAATGAAAATAATAAAATCATTCTCTTTTTTCAAGCTCATCTTTTCACTTACCAATGTGACATAAGTTTTCTCCAATTGATGGTTAAATACAGTGATTAAATTCTATCAAGATGGTATAATCTGCATTCATATAATAATGCTAGGACTGGTGCTTCGTTTTTATTCCCAAGACTACAAACAATTGCATTTCAATGATTATCACACATAAATTGTAGAAAGTGGTTCACCATGCTGACAAATAGGGATGACAATGGGATAGGGTGGGTATAGGTTTGACTCCCATCCCCATCCCCATCCCCGAAGTAAAAATTCATCTCCATCCCTGAAGTAAAAATTCTTCTCCATCCCTATCTGGTAATAGGTATACTCGTGTTTGTACTCCCTCATTTATTGTTTCAAATATTAATTAAATAACATTTTACAAGGAATAAAAGACCCAACAAAGAGAACATGATACTATCAAGTATTCAATGTCAAAAGGATACACATTTTATTTTCTTCGGAGTCAAATATCAAGAAAGAAATTATAATTATATAAATATCAAATAAGAGTATCAAATAGTAATTAGATAAAGGTCAAATAATTATAGAGAAGAGTAGAACAAATCAAATGAGGGATAATTGCAGATCTAGTTCATAGTTGTTGAAATGACCAATATGAAGAGAGCAATGCATGCAGTGTCAAAATACTCCAATTTTTTCTCAAATACTAAATTTATCATTTGGGTGAGTCTGAGGAATGAAGTATTGAGAATCTATAAACAGTTTGCTATTATTCATTAGGTGCGTACTATTATAGTATTGCGGCTTCAAAAGTGTTCATCTTGAAACTTGATTTTGATCATTAACTTTTTGCTTTGCAGTGATCATGTTCCTAATCTCTTGGTCATTCACTGTGGTATCTTTGGCCCTTGCAAGCCTCATATATAAGTACGTGAGCATTAAAGGAAAGGCTGGGGACTGGGGTGATGGTTTCAAAAGTGCCTATTTCCAACTAGCACTTCGTAGCCTTCGGTCTCTTGGAGGTATGTATCATTCAAATTCAATCATATGCTTTCCTCAAGTAGGTGATACAATACAGAAAAGAATGACAATGTTGAATTTGTCATGTATGTATGATTGAATGGTCAAGCACTCGAAATAGATTTTGTTGATCCACTAGTCTATTCTCCTTTCGAAAGTTTCCTAACCCCCAAAAGGTGTTCGGTCTGATGATGTCTCATTCCTGTTATCTTGGAAAAGTTATCATTTTAATTGGCTTAGATTTTTCATCTCCTTTCTCCCGGTTACTAGTGCAGCCTGATCCCCCTTATACCAAGTTTCTGTTTGTTTTTATATATTGAGTTATATTGTATAGAAATGATCTTAATATTGATGATTAGGCTCGGAAATAATGATATTTTCATTGTTAAAAAAAACAATTTTACTCCCCATGAAAAGACTTCAGAATTATCTGCAGTTTGAGAGTTTAAAACATTCTGACTTATCTCTGAATTATTAATGATACAATCTGCATTTATCATGGGTTTAGATTTCTCTTGATTCTTTTGGTGGGGGTTTTTATGTACAGGATGTGAAAAATTCTATTTTATAGAAGTAAACTTCGTTTGAATTTGAGCTTCATCATAATTAGGACCTTTTTATTATTGTAACAAATTGATTACTCATCCCTTTGTCCAATTAACGTTTCTCATCAAATGCCTTGTCAACCCCAAGGGAAGAGGAAAGAAAGATGATCATTTAGAAGTATTTTTTATGAAAAAAATTAATATTTATCATAGACATTGCAAGATAATGATGAACATAAATTCTTGACATAATTTGGCTCGTCTCTTTACAATAAATATTCATTTTGATAAATGTTTTGCAAATTAAGCCTTTACTCGCTACAGTTTGCTTGATTATAAATTTCATTCATAGCACTTCTAAGTTAAAACTTGGATGACTTTTACTTTCTCTGATATTGCGAGTATGTCTAATGATCTAATTTATCATCTGCAGTTTTTAATATCATTACCATTTAGAGTAAGAATCTGATGATTCATATGATAAAATTAAAAATTGTTAAACGGTTTTTGTTTAAAAAGGGTCAAAATAAATGTTTTTATACGAATAGAAAGAGCTTTATTATAGCATTATACTGTTCATATTTTTTTTTTCTGTTAATGTATTGTCATTGTAAATTTAGGTTTCCCTAGCAACTTATTTCCACTTATTTTTGTAGCAAGCCAAGTGCACCCAAAAAATTGGTATCCAATTCCACTAATATTTTGCCGACCCTGGGGCAAACTGCCAGAAAACGTTCCATGTCATCCCAAACTTGCAGATTTTGCGAACTGCATGAAGAAGAAAGGTCGAGGAATGTCCATATTTGTCTCTATACTAGATGGTGATTACCATGAACGTGCTGAAGATGCCAAAACTGCTTGTAAACAACTTAGCACCTACATTGATTACAAAAATTGTGAAGGTGTGGCTGAGATTGTTGTAGCCCCCAACATGTCTGAAGGCTTCCGTGGTATTATTCAGACAATGGGCCTGGGCAATCTCAAGCCAAACATTGTGGTGATGCGTTACCCAGAAATTTGGCGAAGGGAAAACTTGACAGAAATCCCTGCCACCTTCGTTGGGATAATCAATGATTGCATTGTTGCAAACAAAGCTGTGGTTATAGTTAAGGGTCTTGATGAATGGCCGAATGAGTACCAGAGGCAGTATGGTACGATTGATTTGTACTGGATTGTAAGAGATGGTGGTCTCATGCTGCTTCTCTCTCAGCTCCTTCTTACCAAGGCGAGCTTTGAGAATTGCAAGATTCAGGTCTTCTGTATCGCAGAAGACGATGGAGATGCAGAGGGACTGAAAGCTGATGTGAAAAAATTCCTTTATGATCTTCGGATGCAAGCGGAAGTTTTTGTCATAACAATGAAATGGGATGCACAGATGGATGGGGGTGGTGGGTCTCCACAAGACGAGTCGTCGGAAGCATTTACTAGTGCTCAGCAGAGAATTGATGATTACTTAACCCAGATGAAGGTAAGAGCACAGAAAGAAGGTACTCCTCTAAGGGCAGATGGTAAGCCTGTGGTTGTGAACGAGAAGCAGGTGGAGAAGTTTCTTTACACAACACTAAAGCTCAATTCAATAATTCTGAGATATTCAAGAATGGCTGCTGTTGTATTGGTAAGTCTTCCTCCACCTCCACTGAGTCACCCAGCATACTTCTATATGGAGTACATGGATCTGTTGCTGGAGAATGTACCAAGGATTTTGATTGTAAGAGGTTATCGTAGAGACGTTGTAACTCTATTCACGTAGTTTTAAGTGGATGATTCTAGGACACACTAATTACGTTTCTCCCTCACTGTTTATATTTTGTAGCTTACATGCAAGTGCTCATTCTTTGTACCAATTTTCTTGCTGAAGGGGGTCTTTTGTATTCACCAGTTTTATAGGAAATATGAAATTATTTTCAACCTTATTAATTTTTTCTTGTATCGGATGACAATTAAACTGTTTGCTATTCTCGTTTCCGAAGTCGATGGCATCAAAATAATGGCTATTAACATTTGTAACAGCTTGAAGTCGTCGAGCAAAAATAATTCCCCATTAGACATCTCAATTCTCGTAATGCTATATGTCCGTTTTTGTGCGAAGGTGAAGTATCCGTATACTGTGCATGGCATGGCTCTATAACACTGAAATCTTTTCTAAATAGGTGTATGCATAGCTCAACACAAGACAATTTTTCGATCAAAAAGGTTTCGAAAACCGTATGGGATTTTGTAGTTCTGTATGTTTCTGGTATTTATTTTGGTTGTCTTTGTGCATGAATCCGGATTAAACAAATCATTTAACTTTTCTTTATTGAATCAGATGATTTTAAGACCATTGATTAAACAAATTACGTTGTGATCATTTATGTATCTTTTCTTTTCATCTTGTGATACATCTTGTCTTGTGATACATCCGAAGATGATCTTGTTTTTTTTTTTATNTGTCATGTATGTATGATTGAATGGTCAAGCACTCGAAATAGATTTTGTTGATCCACTAGTCTATTCTCCTTTCGAAAGTTTCCTAACCCCCAAAAGGTGTTCGGTCTGATGATGTCTCATTCCTGTTATCTTGGAAAAGTTATCATTTTAATTGGCTTAGATTTTTCATCTCCTTTCTCCCGGTTACTAGTGCAGCCTGATCCCCCTTATACCAAGTTTCTGTTTGTTTTTATATATTGAGTTATATTGTATAGAAATGATCTTAATATTGATGATTAGGCTCGGAAATAATGATATTTTCATTGTTAAAAAAAACAATTTTACTCCCCATGAAAAGACTTCAGAATTATCTGCAGTTTGAGAGTTTAAAACATTCTGACTTATCTCTGAATTATTAATGATACAATCTGCATTTATCATGGGTTTAGATTTCTCTTGATTCTTTTGGTGGGGGTTTTTATGTACAGGATGTGAAAAATTCTATTTTATAGAAGTAAACTTCGTTTGAATTTGAGCTTCATCATAATTAGGACCTTTTTATTATTGTAACAAATTGATTACTCATCCCTTTGTCCAATTAACGTTTCTCATCAAATGCCTTGTCAACCCCAAGGGAAGAGGAAAGAAAGATGATCATTTAGAAGTATTTTTTATGAAAAAAATTAATATTTATCATAGACATTGCAAGATAATGATGAACATAAATTCTTGACATAATTTGGCTCGTCTCTTTACAATAAATATTCATTTTGATAAATGTTTTGCAAATTAAGCCTTTACTCGCTACAGTTTGCTTGATTATAAATTTCATTCATAGCACTTCTAAGTTAAAACTTGGATGAATTTTACTTTCTCTGATATTGCGAGTATGTCTAATGATCTAATTTATCATCTGCAGTTTTTAATATCATTACCATTTAGAGTAAGAATCTGATGATTCATATGATAAAATTAAAAATTGTTAAACGGTTTTTGTTTAAAAAGGGTCAAAATAAATGTTTTTATACGAATAGAAAGAGCTTTATTATAGCATTATACTGTTCATATTTTTTTTTTCTGTTAATGTATTGTCATTGTAAATTTAGGTTTCCCTAGCAACTTATTTCCACTTATTTTTGTAGCAAGCCAAGTGCACCCAAAAAATTGGTATCCAATTCCACTAATATTTTGCCGACCCTGGGGCAAACTGCCAGAAAACGTTCCATGTCATCCCAAACTTGCAGATTTTGCGAACTGCATGAAGAAGAAAGGTCGAGGAATGTCCATATTTGTCTCTATACTAGATGGTGATTACCATGAACGTGCTGAAGATGCCAAAACTGCTTGTAAACAACTTAGCACCTACATTGATTACAAAAATTGTGAAGGTGTGGCTGAGATTGTTGTAGCCCCCAACATGTCTGAAGGCTTCCGTGGAATTATTCAGACAATGGGCCTGGGCAATCTCAAGCCAAACATAGTGGTGATGCGTTACCCAGAAATTTGGCGAAGGGAAAACTTGACAGAAATCCCTGCCACCTTCGTTGGGATAATCAATGATTGCATTGTTGCAAACAAAGCTGTGGTTATAGTTAAGGGTCTTGATGAATGGCCGAATGAGTACCAGAGGCAGTATGGTACGATTGATTTGTACTGGATTGTAAGAGATGGTGGTCTCATGCTGCTTCTCTCTCAGCTCCTTCTTACCAAGGCGAGCTTTGAGAATTGCAAGATTCAGGTCTTCTGTATCGCAGAAGACGATGGAGATGCAGAGGGACTGAAAGCTGATGTGAAAAAATTCCTTTATGATCTTCGGATGCAAGCGGAAGTTTTTGTCATAACAATGAAATGGGATGCACAGATGGATGGGGGTGGTGGGTCTCCACAAGACGAGTCGTCGGAAGCATTTACTAGTGCTCAGCAGAGAATTGATGATTACTTAACCCAGATGAAGGTAAGAGCACAGAAAGAAGGTACTCCTCTAAGGGCAGAAGGTAAGCCTGTGGTTGTGAACGAGAAGCAGGTGGAGAAGTTTCTTTACACAACACTAAAGCTCAATTCAATAATTCTGAGATATTCAAGAATGGCTGCTGTTGTATTGGTAAGTCTTCCTCCACCTCCACTGAGTCACCCAGCATACTTCTATATGGAGTACATGGATCTGTTGCTGGAGAATGTACCAAGGATTTTGATTGTAAGAGGTTATCGTAGAGACGTTGTAACTCTATTCACGTAGTTTTAAGTGGATGATTCTAGGACACACTAATTACGTTTCTCCCTCACTGTTTATATTTTGTAGCTTACATGCAAGTGCTCATTCTTTGTACCAATTTTCTTGCTGAAGGGGGTCTTTTGTATTCACCAGTTTTATAGGAAATATGAAATTATTTTCAACCTTATTAATTTTTTCTTGTATCGGATGACAATTAAACTGTTTGCTATTCTCGTTTCCGAAGTCGATGGCATCAAAATAATGGCTATTAACATTTGTAACAGCTTGAAGTCGTCGAGCAAAAATAATTCCCCATTAGACATCTCAATTCTCGTAATGCTATATGTCCGTTTTTGTGCGAAGGTGAAGTATCCGTATACTGTGCATGGCATGGCTCTATAACACTGAAATCTTTTCTAAATAGGTGTATGCATAGCTCAACACAAGACAATTTTTCGATCAAAAAGGTTTCGAAAACCGTATGGGATTTTGTAGTTCTGTATGTTTCAGGAATTTATTTTGGTTGTCTTTGTGCATGAATCCGGATTAAACAAATCATTTAACTTTTCTTTATTGAATCAGATGATTTTAAGACCATTGATTAAACAAATTACGTTGTGATCATTTATGTATCTTTTCTTTTCATCTTGTGATACATCTTGTCTTGTGATACATCCGAAGATGATCTTGTTTTTTTTTTTATAAAAAGAATTATTTGGTATATTTGAATTTGACTAAGATTGATAATGATACATTTTTTTAAAGGGTCTTGTAAAGTTTAAGATTGTCTGTATTATTGTCTTGTTTCTTGAGTTTTTGCGAAAAATGAAAATATAATACATTGTTCCAATCAATTTGATTAAACAATAAGATGCAATTCTTATAATAGAGTGAATCGGTATAAATATTTATATAATTCTCTTTTCTCTCTATATTTTTAAATGATATATTATTCATTTCATGCATAGTTTTCTTAAAATTTAAAGAACTCTTAATATTACAATTTTAATCATTGAAAAAATTGATTTACTATCATAATCAATTTAGTGAAAATTAGTACTTTTTCTTTTCTGGGAAAATTAAAATATTATTTAAGGAATTTGATGAAGAATTGTGAAAAACCATATAGTATTATGTTTTTAAAAAATCATATGAAAGTGCAATTCTTCGCAT